GGGCCATCTCCTCGTCTTCGATCACTTGCTCGAAGTCCTCAGCTTCGACTTCAACCACAAGGTCCTTCTGTACCTCTATGGCCATTGCGGCATCATTCCCGGTCGAGGGTTGCTCACTCGTGGACTCCACGTCTGAGAAGCTTTCGTCCTCCATCGAAGGCTCCCTCGAGATGTCTTGGGAATCGCTTTGTGAAGACATTTTTATACTAAACCGAGGGTTCGGAGGGAGGTACTAAAGGCTCTAAGCTACGAACACTAATCTAAGGCCGGGAAGCGAAGTATGCAAGAATTGCCAAGAACGGAGCGAGAACTGACCTCTGAGAACTGGTTTTGACCGAAGGCTGGAGTTTCTCTCTCTAGAAAATTCGGCAGAGCTCCGCTAACAACAATGATCGCACATCGAAAGTGGTCCATGGCCTTGGGTATTTATAGGCACCGCAAATCTGGGCTTGGGCCGGAAATCGGGCCTCCGGTTACAAAATCATCATTACAAACCGACGAGTTGCCCAATCGGTGACGCCCGCCCACAGGCACCCAACGAATGCACGCCACGTGGAGGCCCCCCTCCAATGGCTATATTTCCGACGTTACATCTTCCAACGGCTCTATTACAACGGCTATATTCTGGGACCCCGGGCTGTCTCCTTCACTCCACTTCATCAAGAGGAGCCCTCGGGTACACTTACCCAGAAGTGCTCCCGGCCAATGCCCCTCATAATACATCACAAGTGCCTTCGGGCTCACTCCTTCAGAAGCCCACTGCTTCACAACGGGCACACCCCTCGGGAACACCCAGCCCTCAAACACATTAAGGGCCACGTAAACCCCGGGGAGCACACCTTCATCAACAGTTACCCCCGGCAACGCAACAAGGAAACCCCCGGGGTACCACGGCCCTCAACTTATCATCTACATTCGTCGCACCCTCATTCTCATGAATTGGGGGGCTCCCCTTCGGCGTCTCCCAGGATAACAACAGCAAGCCTTCGGCAGATCAACACACGCACCCTCAGAAAAGGATGGTCTTCGGCAAGAATACGGCCACTCATTTCAGACCAGGGTTTCACCTTTTCGACTCATCATTGGGGGAATTCGGTGCACTCTTTTTCCCTCATTGGAATTTTTTTCCCACAGGGTTTTTTCCAATAAGGTTTTTAACGAGGCATCCCCCCAAAATGAAACGAAAAGCGTCACCCCTCGGCTTCATATTGCAGGCAGGCACTACTCTACTCCTTTTCACCACTTTGCAAGTGCCTCAAGGAGTGAGGGACTAGAGAACCCCTTCGGGAAAAATCTCAAAATACAAAATATCAAAAACTCCCCAAAACAGCAACGTGGTCCCTCAAGTCTCGACATGTGGGTAACTGAGGGACTGCCCTCGGCTGAAACATGTACACAGCGAACTCCTTACCAACTTTACAAACTACAACGGAACAACACCAAAGGACAAACACAAATTACTCTTTTTCCCTCAAGTACCTTTCGACAAAAGGAGTGGGGGACTCCTGATGGAGTATATGGCCCAAGAACCCCTGGCCCATAGACTCCTACTATTCTAAGGGAGGCCCAATAGGCCCAGGAAGCACAGCAGGCCCAAATCACAGCGCCCCGAGTACTGAGCAACCCACGTGGCACACTGGGGGTGCCTTCGGCCCCCTGGCCGAAGGCTCCAAATTCTCACAGGATGGCCAACTCAAGCAAACAAAGTTACTGGGAGAAAACGGCAAAAATCAGTAGCCCTCGACACCTAGAGCCCTCGGCACTAAGGAGGTCCCCGGTACTTAGAGCCCTCGGCTAATCATCTGCAGCCGAGGGCACCTTTCTCGACAGAATATCCTCTCCACATGCGCCTGAATCACTGTACCAAGTACGACGTCACATCCAACAGCCGCATTAAATGCGGCCAATGCGACTGCCAGTGCCAACCAGTTGATGTGACCCCTCGGCCATTGGATGCTTGACACATGTCCCTATCTGGCATTTATTACTACTATAAATAGCGCCCCTTTCCCCCATTTGTAACCCAAGCTAAATTCGCTCGCTACATTCTCAGCAATATACTCTCTCTCTCTTACTTTTGCTCTGACTTCTCTCTAGTTACTCCCCGCAGTAACCCTTCGGATACATACCACCAGGTAGACTATCCATCAGTGTAAGAGTGGTTGTGAACCCCAAAAAAGGAAAGGGGAGATAAATTTGGGACGGACCGAAAAGGAAAGAATGAAAATAATTTCGGGACAGAGGGAGTATAATTTATAGAATATAATAACGTAAAATAAAGAAAATAGAAACAAATAAAAAAATACTAAAATTGAAAAAATATAGAATTTTGTTTTTTACAATTAAGATAGCATAACAATTTAATAAAATTGGTTTTCATGAAAAAGTCTAGAATAAAGATTTAAATCTTAAATTTTTTAATCAAAATATACTTTTTGATAACACAAAATGTAAAATTGAATAAAGGAAAATAATACAAAATCATAACTTGTTAACACAAGTAGGAAAAGTAAATTGAAAAAAATAGCTAAAATAAATAAAAAATGACTAATTTTTTTATTTAACTTCGATACATTTGTAGAATTTTCATAATTATTTTTACATGTTTAAAATATTTAATTTCGCAATTTATAAAAAAAACTATATTTTTAAAAATTGAGAGTTGATCATTGGGATTAATAAAAGAAGATCGACTATAGTTGGGATTATTTATAGCTTACGCATAGTTCACATTTAAATTTGACTTGCTATACCGGGTTGTAGCATGTTAGAGACTATTTTTAGAAAATGGTCCCTATAGTTGGGACCACCCAGAAATAATCGATAGTTGAGACTATTAATATCGGTCCGACAATAGTTGGGATTATTATTTTCAATTTTTCCTTTTTTTATTTGTTCTACTATGTTTGCATTTTTTATGTAATTTGTTTGCTCCCTCCAAGTATCTTAAATGAAATATTGAAATGACAATTTTTAGTAAAAACCGAAAAGCAGAAACCGAACTAAAACAAATCGAACCAATCAAAACGTGGCTTCAAGGTTTGAAAGGTAAAACCAAACCGAAACCGAACCAAACTTTCTATTTTGATTCCGTATTTGTTTTTTTGTCAAACCAAACCCACCCTTAGCTAATTGGTCTGTAGATTCATAAAGTGTAAGCCATTTAATTTCAAAAAAGTTCAAGATTTTTTTAAAAAATAAGAAAAAGAAACTGAAGTAAAAGATATATGAAGTAGCGTAGTGATCACAATATTCAATATTGGATTTCTAATACTCAATAGAATATGTTTGATGTTTACTAAAAGTGCATTAATGCTCATTTAACGCTCGACTTTCACCTAATTTACTAAAATGTGCTACGTATAGCCGTGCTACGTATAGCCAGCGTATATGAACTCATTGAACACAATCCACGATTAAAAATTGCTTACGATACATTGATACAACCAACATAAATAACAACAAATTAGATTTATCAAATGCCCTAATATGTTAATATTTAATTTGTGTCAATAATTCTCTAAATAAAAATTACGTGTCATTACATAGAATAAAAAATTCATCGAAGCAATTTTTGATGTGCACATTTTTGTATGCACTTTGCACAAATTTTACCAATCATTCACATAGATAAATTTCATCAATCAAATTGTTTAGGCGTTTGTGTAATGAAAACTTAATGTCTCTGATAAAAAAACATAATGTGACTTAATCTCACTCGCTCAATTTCAGCCAGTTTGATGACATTGAAATTGACTGAACCAACTGTGACTGCTGAAATTTATGAAGTTTTGACTGAAGTGACTGGATTGATTAATTTTTTGCTGATTCATGAAAATAGTATATTTACAATATTTTTTGTTAAGAAGATAAAGAAAAATTTATATGAAAAAATAGTTAAAATGATTCTCTAAAGTAACTTCAGTCAATACAACTATAAAAGTAAGGCTATGTTTGGCGGGGTATAAGTTCCTGCCTTCTAACTTTTATACTATTTAAAAAGTCTTTAAAAGCTTATATGTTTGGCACGCCAATTTTTAAGAGCTTTTATAAAAATAAAAGATCTTTTTTGAGATGCTACAGTGAGTAGCATCTCATATAAGTCCGTAGTTTCTAACATTAATTAGTCCTAACAGCTTGTATCCAAACATAGCTAAATCAAACAGTCACCTTTTTACCAAACATCTACTACATTTACTTTTTAAGATCTTTTCAGTTACTAAAAGCTAACAGTTACTAAAAGCTCATAAAAATATCTTTTCATTTTGTTGCGCCAAACATACCCTAATTCTAACCTCACTTTCTTCTATTACTACGCAATTCAGCGCATGAAATCAAAAGTTAGATATTTGATGAAAATGTTGACTGATAAGCCTGATAATTCGAAAAACACGACCACCAAACGAGCTCTAGGTATGTGTGCAAAGTAATGTGCAATACTTTGTTTGGGTAGCAAACAAGGTGACATAGATTAATACACTTTGCTTGTGAATAAATTTAATTGACAATGATCGTCATCAATTACATATTAACATTTGTAGATTTATTTTTTATTTTCATAGAGGATGAATTGATTTTTAAGGAAATCAAATTTGTTCACTCAAAAGAGGGTGATGTTCACCCAACCTAATTGCTTGTCATGTGCCAAGGCAATTTTTTTTGGCAATTATTAATAATTTGGCAATTGTTTTAACCTTTTCATTTTTAATCCTTTTTTGAAAAAAATATATCAATTTTTTTTTAAGATCTTTCATATGATATCAATATAAATAAAAAAAATTCAGCTCGAAATGAATATTTATAAAAAACGATTTTTGTCCAACTTTTTTATATAAAATATTGATATCATTGAAAAGATCTTAAAAAGTTATTAAATCAGATATATTTTTTATAAACTTTGGACAAGTAATAAAAAAAATTACATTAATTTATAGAAAAAAGGAAATAAGTGGGTCATAATACAATAGATAAGGTTTGGGCTATAGAAATGAAGCCTGAAAATTTATTTGGGATAATGCTTAGGGCTTGATGTGCGAGTTGGGCCAAAATTGCCCACGATTAATCACCGTCAAACACACGCGCTGCTCCAATCCCTTTTCCGGCCGATCAGAGTGTGTGCAGACGGCAGCTCAAAATCCTTACTAGTGCACACAGTCTCAAGCTCCCTCCGGCGAGCCACTAAATTTATCTATACAAACGCGCGTCCTTACATCTACGCTCTCAAAAAGTAAAGAAGTGGGTCGTGATATGGCAATCTCATTGGATGGTGTTAGGGACAAGAATTTGATGCAGCTAAAGAAGCTGAACACCGCCCTCTTCCCTGTCCGCTACAACGACAAGTACTACACCGATGCACTCGCTTCCGGCGAATTCACCAAGCTAGGTCAGATATTTCTCCTTTCCCATTACTCTCGACTTCATCAAGCCGGATTTTCTTCACTTCCTTACAGAGATAGGGACAATAAAAACAAATCTTTGTTTTTTTTTCGATCAAGTTTTTATTCGATAAAGAATTCAGGAGTATATGTATCTTTATCTTGTACTACCCCTTCCTTTCAAACATTGTCATCTTTGACTTTTCAAAGTTTGATTGATACATTTCAAAGTTATAAGTTTTATACTTTTATGAAAGTATCTTTAGCAAAGAACAATTTCATATAATTTTTATATTATAAATGGCAATGCTTTAAGGGACGGAGTCACATTTTATGGCGAAAACAGTTTTCCTTTTGGTTCGTTTTTTGGCTAATAAGGCAGGTAGTCTAGCTGTAAATGCAACTGTGTTCTAGCAACTATTGCTTACAATTTCCAGTTAAATTCAGTCTTATGCGGCTTGCTGCTCATTCTATGGATATAAGTTTTCACTTTTAAGTAAGTCAGGGCTTCTTTTGTGTCCAATACTCCATGTAGCGATTTCTCACTATCTTGAACTCTTTTTTAATGCTTCCAGATATCCTTTATTTGCCAAAGTTTTTTTTTTTTAAGTTTATCATGTTTTTTTACTAATACATTCACATTATGTTAAGGGAGCCCATATATACACTGATACACACTCTGAAGTGGTAGATTTTATTGGCTATCTCCAATGCTCATGGTGCATTGGTGCTTAGGTGTCATATAAATAGAAAGGGTCTATTGAGCATGTGGCCAAAATAAAAAAATTGAAGAGGGTCCATCCTTTCCATGCTCCAATGCAAAAGACATCCATTTAAAAAATTAAAGTAATGATTAAATAATTACACATGGGTTGAGAAGGGGAGGTGAGACCCAGAGTCTCAAAATGGACCTCCTAGTGCACCTTGCTCATTTCTCTCTCTTGCCAACTCAACATGACCTAGTCCTTTTTTATTTGCATTGAAGACTACACTCTTTCACAAAGTCCACATTTGATGATGTGGAAATGCAATCCACCATTGCATTGGAGTTGCCCTTAGGGTGTTGCTATTAATGGAATCATGATTATAATAATTCTCATCTGTGTCCAATTTGGGTGCTAATGTCAGAAAGAAGTAGCCGAATTGGTTCAATATGTGACATAACATATGTGCCTATGTATTTTTGCATGAATTGTAGCGTTAAACAGATTCATCAATTTGCTAAATAAAAATCTATTTGGATTGGACAACTAGACAAGCATATAATTCTTGAGATATTAGGACTTTGGGTTTCTTTTCACTGGTTGAAGAATGAATGAATAGAAATGACAGATGATGTATGTTACTACATTTTTAATATAGCATAATTGTACAAAAACTGAATTGTAAATTCTTGGATATTTTAGATAGTTAAGATTTTTTCGCGTAGTAAAATATATATTTCAATGCTGAATATATTTGCTTTTTCTATTGTTTTTGTCTTATCCAGCATACTACAGTGACATTTGTGTTGGTGCAATTGCATGTAGGATTGAGAAAAAGGAAGGGGGTGCTGTTCGTGTATACATCATGACCTTGGGCGTTTTGGCTCCTTATCGTGGATTAGGTGTTGGTAAGCAATCCATATATCATCATCCACTCGTATCTCTTTTACTGCTTTGCTTAAATTAAAACTAGAGCCTATTTTCGTGTGAGACTGTTCTTTATTTTTATAAAACCCTCCTATTGATAAAACATATGTTGAGATTATTCCTTTGACTGTTGAGTTGGTCAATTTGTTATTGTGTCTATCTCAGTTCTCAATTTGTTTTTTTAGTTAACAATTTGATGAAAAGAAGCATCGTGGGGTCAGACATGTTTTCTTCACTTGTCTAATCTGAACTTTAAAAGACCTGGTCTGGTGTTGTTTTGAATATTCTGATGTGGCAATTTGTGTTAATATTTGTATTCTGATCGGGTATGGTTTACTCTTTTTATTGTCTAATTATCTTGTCTGATTTTTAACCACATGGTATATCATTCTTTCTAGTCTAATCCGAAACTTTCTCGTGTGATCCTGATTTTGTTGGCCTTATTTGGCCTTGTCTAATTTAAATAAGAACAAGTAATCTTCTTTGGTGTAGTCTTAGCTGGAGTACAGGACATCACATTACTATAGTTTAATCTTTTTACTTACCTCTGGTCTGGAGAAGTTCTTTCTTAATGTTTGGATTTTTGAGCTTATGTTTCTTAACTTCTTTGCATTCGATCTGGGTTCTCAACTGTGAATTTCAGACCCAATGCAGTCCTTATATATATTTGGTTATAAGTCAGTCTGGTGTTTTCGTGAGTTCACTAAATTTTAACTCGATTAGGACTACATAAATTCACACACAATGTAATCCTTGAACATATTTGGCTCTGAGTGTGAATTGTATTTTTGTTTGTTGTTGACTAAATCTTGACCTGATGTAGGACTTAGTCTAGTCCTCAATTATGTAATTTGGACCCAATCTAGTCGTAAAGATACAAAAATGCCCTTCCTATTTATGCATAAAATATGTTTTTGGACTAAATTGAGCCTAAGTTGGACCAAAGTGAGTCCAAAAGAAAGTTCAAGACCAAATTGCGTACTGTATATAAGAGATTGTCGAGGGACTAAATTAGGTTTTTTTAGCCCGAGGAAAATTTCTTATTACAAATTGACAAAAGAAAAGTGAACCAAATGACTTAACTATTCTTGGTTACTTGTTAAGTTCAAGTGTTTTTTATTTATCCATGAGACCATGACTAATCTGCTCCGTATTCATATGTCGATTCTTGTTAGCTGACCTCAAATTCTTTTGGGAGACTTGGATGTTCTTCTTGTATCGGGACTAATCTTCTAAGCAATTACCTGGTAGGTTCAAAGCTGTTGAACCATGTGCTTGATCTTTGTGCTAAGCAATGCATCAGTGAGATTTACCTGCACGTCCAGACAAACAACGATGATGCCATCAAGTTTTACAAGAAATTTGGGTTTGAGATTACGGAGACCATCCAAAATTATTACACAAACATTACACCCCCAGACTGCTATGTTGTTACCAAAGTCATCGCCCAAATCCAGGAAAAGAAATAGCTTCAAATTTCCAGTTATGGATTTTCCAGAATTTGTGCTTGCTATTGTTTTCATTTGAATGCAATTTTTTTCTTTCTTTCTTGCACTCCTGTGTAAGAAAACTGTTGTATGAAGAGTTAGTAGTCTAGAAGAAACACATTTTTTATCCATTCAAGATAACAGTCACTGGTTGAGAATACCTGCCCCTAAAATGCAAATATCTACTCGCATGTTTTATGTATGCTATATGCATACTCGAGGAGTCTCTGGTTTAAATATTATTACTGAACTGTTGATATAATATTGTAACTTATTTTATGAAAATATGTCGATTTGTATATCAGTGTGGGCCTGTGGGAAAGTAAGGATGTTTTTAGTTGGATTGAATTTAGTTGTACATCAATGATATTTTCCGTTATTTGGGCTCCATAATTCAAAAGAATGGTGAATTAGATGTAGATGTATGTCATAGAATCAGAGCTAGGTGGATGAAATGGAAAAATGCATCATGATTTCTATGCGATTGAGGTATGCCGACTAGACTGAAAGGTAAATTTTATCGAACATCAATTAGGCATGCATTAATTTATGGCGTGGACTGTTGGTCGGTGAAGCAATGCCACATTCAAAAGATGAGTGTGGTAGAGATGCGTATGTTATGTTAGATGTGTGGACATACCAGAAAAGATCGCTTGAGGAATGAGATAATCAGACAAAAGGTGGGAATATCACCTATAGAAGATAAGATGCCGCAGTCTCGTTTGCCATGGTTTTGGCATGTGCGTAGAAGGCCGAATGATGCACCTGTTGGACGACTTGAGGGGTGGGGAGAAGAGACAGAGAAGAGAGGGAGGGGAAGACCTAAACAGATTTGGATTAGATGAATCAAAACTGATATGCGTCTTCAGTCTTCTTGGGTTGGATGAAATTATGGCTTTGAAGAGAGCAAAGTGGAGGGGCACATCTGTGTGGATGATTGGTGTCTTTTTTTACATTTCCTCTCTCTTTTCTTTTATCATTTATCTTCTTTATCTTTTTATATTCTTATGTTATTTTTATCTTTTAACTTTGTTTATGCTTTTTTATCTTTCTATCTTCTATCTTTCTTATATTCTTATGTTATTGTTATCTTATATGTATTTATCTTTATTTATCTGTTTTATCTTCCCGTCCCCCCATCCGTCTCTCTGTTTGGGATCGATATCATAGATCGATTCATGTTAGTCGATCCCCAAATTCTTTTGGGATTAATGTTTGGATGTTGTTGTTATTGAATTTAGAACACTTAAACAACCATATATTGTAATATCATATTAGACACACAAAAGTAAAGTGAAAAAAATATTAGATCATAGTACTACACTAGTTTAGGTTACTTTAGATCAGATAAAAGTTAGTACAAACAAAATACCAGATCATAGTACTATACTAGTTTAGGTTACATTAGATCAGATAAAAGATTTAGAACAAAGTGAAAACATTTTACATAGTAGCATTTAAATCTTTATCATACATTCCTTCATCTGGGGTCCCTAAACAAAATCATATTTTCTGATTTGATAAAAAATATCAATTTATTTTACTACCTCAAGTTATATTAAGAGTGCAATACCAACTAGTACCGGACGAGTACGGTAAGATTTACTCTTAGTAAAAAGAGTCTTTTGGAAGCCAAGTGAAAAAATGACTTTATTATTAAAAATACAGGTATTTTATAAAAGTCATATAAGTGAAATATGTAGTCGTGATTATCATATGTATTATATTATTATATATTATAAAGATGATATATGAAACTCTCTAAATAGATTCTCTTACTCCTTGAATTGGGATTTTCTGACGATTTTATATAACTGTATCAAACATTTATATATAGTTGTGATCTTGATAATGAATCATACGAGAAATGAATCTACCATATTTATTGTCAAAGGTAAAAACTAAAGAGAACTCAATAAGTGCCTTAGATTGCAAGAAAAATCAACTCATACTTGTCCAAGCTATTAATTTTACAGCCCTCTTGAATGTTCATAGCTAAATATTTCCATTACTATTTGATGCATCATTGAGATCCTTACTATGAGAGATCCCGTGAGAAAAAACACAATAGAGGGCGAAAATGACAACTTTTAATTTCATTGTATTTACATATATTTCATCATTAAAAACCTAATCGAATGTGCATACAATACCCACATCTTAGCATACATCTCGAAGGTGAACCATGCCATGTTTCTGAACAACTTCTACAAACTTATCAATGATTTTGATTAGTATACATTGGGAATTTCATTATAGAGGGCGAAATGACAACTTTTAATTCCATTGTATTTACATATATTGCATCATTAAAAACCTAATCGAAGGTGCATACAATACCCACATCTTAGCATACATCTCGAAGGTGACACATGCCATGTTTCTGAACAACTTCTACAAACTTATTGGATGACAATGATTTTGATTAGTATACATTGGGAATTTCATTGGATTATTTGATTTGCTAAACGTTTATATTCCCTTCTTTCGCTATATTTGTCTATACATGCAATATTATTTTCATAGATAAAAGTGGGATAACAATCAGCCACACATGTTCTCTTTGAATTTCATATAACGCAATCAGCTTAACATGAATTATTATTCAATGATTGGTTCATTCATCTCCATGAAATTTCAGTGTTTTTTATAAGTAAACATGTGCCCAAAATATGCATATCCTACTAATGTGGCTTTTAAATCTTTGTGATAGAGTATGCTGAGATCAATTGTACCCCAGAGATAGCGAGATACGTATTTGATTTCATTCCAATATCAACATCTTAGATAAGAAAGTGTATCTAGCCAATAGGTTTACAAAAAACAATACTTGATAGAGTATTATTGACTAAATAAACTGAGGCTCCAATGTCACTCAAACATGATACTTTAGGATCAAGGATTTCCTCAATTACACAAGGGAGGTTAACTAGAGGATGAGCTTTATTCATATAGAGTCTCTTCAAAACTTTGTGTAATTTGATTGATGGAGGGAAATTTCATTCTTAAATTATTAATTTGAAGTATGAGACACAATTTTTCCCCCTTATGGCTTTTATTTCAAATTCTTTCATTAGGCAATTTGCGGTATTTTCTATTTCATTGGGAGTTTCAATGATGTTTAAATCATCATCATATACGGAGTACTACTATTATGACAAATCCTTATTGTGACCGCCAAATGAAAACATATGGATAAATCATTTTTTTTTGTATTTTTCTTTAAGTAGATATTCTTTGAGACGATTTATGCCAAATTCATCGAGATTCTTTAATTCTATATAACGAATTTTGTAATTTAATGGAAAACAAATATTGAGATTTCGAGCTATAAGCATCTGACATTATAAGTTCCCTATGAATTTTGATATGAATGTTTTATGGAGAGATCCATATAAATATGAGATTACTACCTTCATTAGGCGCATTTGTGAAATTTAAAAAACATGTCAACCAAAAATCTCAACGTAGTTATGTAAAATACTAGAAAATAAGTCTCTTCATAATAATTTTTTCACAGTTGAAAAAAACTTTGGCAACAAGTTGGACATTATATTTTATGATTTCATTTTCTCATTGGGCTTGCGCACAAAGATCCATACAAATTCACCGGTTTAAAAACCTTTGGCGTAGGGACTATCAGTCCCAAAACATTGCATTTTCAAACAATATCAATTAAGTCTCAATTGCTTCATTTCATTTTGGCTAGTTGTGTCTTTGCCTACACTCATTAACCGATGTTGCCTCAATGTCATTGTTTTTATTCATGATATTTGCGATAATGATAGAGACACATATCTCATTAATATTAACTTCTTATCAATTGTATTACATATCAGTAGAAATGTAGCTTATTGAGATTTCATAAACATCAACATTTATATTGTTATCTAGAATATCTTCTTCATTTGAGAAAGCTTGATATTCTTTTCAGAACATTATTTGGTTGATATCATTTTAAATGACATTATTTTTAATTTATTCATTTTCTTGTTGAAAATTCTGAACAACTTTAGCATCATAAAACATTTCCTATTTTTTAATCTTTTTGGGTTTATATGTGACACCGTCCCCAAGCATGTTTACTTTTAGTAAATGATGTAATAAACCTTGAAGGATGATTTATGAAATTTGCGTAATTGTTAAATTTTATTATTTCTTTTACGTGAATAGTAAATTGCATGTGGGGCCCACAGCGGGAACGGGGACCGCCCGATAATTCCAGAATCACATATTATATTCATCTTGGTCTAAATGACAGCTATATGGTGGGGGATAATTTATTTAGGCCATAGGAAAGGCATGGAATTGACCGGTTGGTCAAACGGGGCCCAATTACCGGTATTGGTAATTTAGCGGATAATAGCCCAAAGTGAGTGTCGGAGACTCCTAAATTAATGTTGGGGAATGTACATCTATCCAAAAGGCCCATAAGTATTAGGAACGCGTGATATATTTTATTTGGCCCGATAAAATAAAATATGATTAAAACAGTCCGAGAAATACAACTTTCGGGGCCGATTGTACACACCGGGACATAATGGGATGACCTCCCACATAAGTGGGGGCCACCCCACGTTTTTAATTGCTCTAGTTGACTTAATGGGAGCTGGAGAGACACCAGAACATGGGAGGGGCGTGCATGAAGGAGGAAGCCTCCTTGAGACAAAAACCCACACCCTCCAAACCCCACTCCCATCTCAATATTTGGGTGATTGAGGGGATCTTTCCAACCTCATTTTGCACCATCTGAATAAGCTAAGGGAGAGAGATAGCTCAGGGAATAAGCCTTTAACAAGGTCCAATTCGAAGGGAGCAAGAGGAGAAGAAATCCAAGGAGAAAAGGAGAGTGTTTGAGGTAAGGACTCAACAAACAATTCTTTTAACTAGTTTATTTGTGTATGATTTTTAATAAATCATATGGTGGATTAAACATGATGTTCTACACGTTTAAAAGTGTAGAATATTGATATAGAATGGTGGTATTTAACTTAGAAGAGTTGTGGAATCGATAGGAGTCGAAACCGCCGGGAAACCGCCATTGTTGGGGACTGTTTTCGAGCTGCAGGCCCGAAAGCCGCCCACCTTTCACGAAAGCCGCCCGGCTTTCACTTGATTTCCAGATTTTTCACTCTTGAACGGCCTAGAACAAGGATGGATCGAGGGGGTTTCGCTAGGGCAGCTAGTTGAGCACATCATAAGGTGAGGATGACTGACTATATTGTTTATAATTTGTGAGTTAATTTCATGAGATTACCTAAGGTAATTAAATGTGTTTTTTATGGATTATTAATGATTAATAATGCCTAAGAATGAGAAGACTAATG